CAGCAGGACACGCGTGGGCTGGGACTCGCCAGCAGTGCCGTAGCTGTTGTACGGGGTACACCTGTACACTCCCAGCGCATCATCGTTCCCCGTCGCAATGACGATGGTGCCGTCTGGTCTCATGGACCAGCCAGGGAGCTGGGAGAGGGGGGTGCAGGGTCAGGATGAGGGGCTCAGGGGGGTGGGAAGGCAGGGGAGGGTGCAAGCTGTGGTACCTTGTCCAGCTCCAGCGGGCGCCCGTCCCTCGTCCAGCTGACAGAGAGCAGAGGGGGGTTGGCCCTGGTGGGGCAGTGGATCACACCCTGCATCCCTTTGGGCAGGTGGGTTTCTGGGAGCATGGTAGTCACCTGTGCCGGATCTGTGAGGACAAACAGGGTGTCGGGGCCTGTGTGAGGGCGGCAGGGGGCTGGGGTCCCTGTGGCAGCTGAAGGAGCACTCCCTTCCCACCAGAGCCTGTGGGGACCCTCCTGGGCTGGCCTAGCACAGCCTTTCTGTGAGCAGAGCTGGTGACAGCATGGCCTGGGCTTGCGAGGGGCTGCGGGGCTCTTACACAGCACTGTGACAAAGGCCGAGGCAGAAGGCGGCTTCCACAGCCCATTGCTGGGGACGCAGGTGTATTTGCCGGCGTCGTCCGGGGTTGTTCGCTCGAGTAAGAGACTCCCGTCCACCAGGACGCGGACCCGAGCCTGGAGGTGGCTACAAGGGAAGGGGAGGGCAGTGGTGAACAGCACGGCTGGGACAGTCCCCAGCACCCCAGGATGAGTGAACCCCTCTGCTACACACCCAGCCAGCCCATTGCACTCAGATCCAGGCTTTGCGGGGCCACAGCAGCCTGCTGGTCCCAGCACTGCTGTCAGGAGCCCGTGGCCACCTCGGTGCCATCCCCGTCCCTGCTGTACCTGAGGTGGAAGACATTGCTGCTGCCCTGGAACCAGGTGTAGGTGAGGTTTCCTGGGTACGCCTTGGCCTGGCACGCCAGAAAGGCATCTTGGGAGATGTTGACGGTGATGTTCTGGGGTGGCACCACGATGATGGGTGGCCCTGCAGTGTGGGGCAGAGAGGACAGTGAGGGCTGGGGACAGCCTCAGCTGCTCCCAAAGCCCATCATACCTGCACCTGCCCCTGCCCCAAAACCAACCCCCATGACATGGCTCCCTCTGTGCCCTGTGGCAGCACCCAGTGGGGAGGTCCACGTGGCCAGGGCTGGGAGAGTACCCATTCTTACCCTGCACGAGCACGCGGGTGGTGTGGGTGATGGTGCCCTCCTTGCTGGAAGCATGGCAGGTGTAGGTGCCCGCGCTGGCACGCTCCACAACGGCGATGCTCAGCGTCCCGTTCCTCACCTGCAATGGCACCAGGCACATGGCACAGTCACCAAGGGACAGGACACTCTCAGGAATGTGGTGCTGTGGGCAGGGCCGGTGGCAGGTGGATGCCACCACGGTGGGGACGGGCGCCCACTCTTCAGCCAAGCAGAGTTGCATTGCTCTGCACACCTGGCTGCCCCATGAGACCCTGGCGGACGTGGGAGACATGTCATGGGGGGGTTTGCCATCCTCACCTGCACTGTGCCCCCGCTCTGGACAGCCAGGTCACTCCTCTTCCAGATGACAACAGGCTGGGGGTTGCCAACAGCTGTGCAGGTAAGGCTCAGTGCGTCCCGGTCTCGCACCTCCACGAATGCAGGGGGGGTCTCCAGGAAGGTGGGGGGTGCTGTAAAGACAAATCCAGACCCTCACCCCCAGGTGTGGCTCAACTGGTCTTGGAAGACCAGTGGATCCAGTCCCAGTCCTGAGAGATCTTGGCTGGTGCTGGGCAGAGCAGCAACCGAGGGTGGAATCAACTAGTACCGTTGACGGTGAGGTGGATCCAGGTGCCGTTCTGGAAGTCGGCGTCGGTGGTGTGCCGGTCGAGGAAGAGCACGCGGCACTCATACCAGCCTTGGTCCTCTGTGCGCAGGAGGTCAATGCGCAGCGAGGCACCTTCCTCAATGCGGACGCGACCTGTGCACCCAGAAGCGGCCATCACAGACGGCGCTGCCAGCTCAGGGGCAGCCACATCCCTGGGCTACCTGCCCCCGCAGCACTCGCCCCTGCCGCAGGCTCAGCAGCTTCCCCAGGGAATGGGGCTGACTGGCCGACTTGGCAGCAGCAGGGTCTGCCTGCATGGCCAGGCTGCACTCGGGCTTCTTCTGCCTCAGCCAGCACTGCAGGGGGCTGGGAACAGCCACGGGACAAAAGCCAGGGGGGCCATGCTGCGGTGGAGTTTGGTCACACTGACATTTAGCACTACACCTCCTGCTTCTGTTGGGGAAAGAGAAGAGGACGTGGTGGTGGACCCTGCCCCTGCATAGGGTGGCCTTGGCAGGGACCCCCCCAGCTGCCAGCAAGGTGTGTCCCTGTGCCCTGAGCATTGCTCCCAGCAGCTAGGCAAGAGAGCTGGTCCCACTGCCCCCTCTGCCTCCCCCTTGAGCTGCCAGCCTGCCTGCAAAATACCTCCGTGCACCCTTCCCCCTTGCCTTTTAGGGACTGTCCCCCCGCAGCCTCAGCCACCCTTCCCCTGGGGATCCCCCCAGCCATCTCACCCTTAGGAGTCTTGCTAAGCCCTGGGCACACCCGCACCATCCTCTCTCCTTGCGGCATGGGGTCAGGCTGAACCCCTCGCCCGCCTCACAGGGACGAGCACTACAGACCCGAGGGGCATGGTGGTGGGGGGCTCTCCCAGGCCACGGGGCCCTCGCCCCAAACAGGCAGCAGCTCCGCACCCCACGGCCTCTTTGATGAGGAGGAGGATAAGGGCACAAAGCAACAGCAAGCACAGCCCTTTAATCCCCTGGGCTATTATCAGAGCCATAATCGGCTCAGGCGTGCAGTGGGCAATTGGCTCAGCCCCGGCCAGGGTGCACAGCCAGTGGACCCACTGCCCCAGCACCCCTGGAGCTACATGCCCCCGACCCCGCTGCAGGCACCCATGGCCTGGAGAGCTGCTCCAGGCTGGGGGCGAGGGTCTAGCCTCAAGCATGTCATTGCCCATGGTGGCCTTGCTCCCAGCATGCCACAGCAGGGCCACAGCGGCAGCAGCACTGCACGCAGCTCTTCGCATCGGAGCAGCCCATGATGCTCCTGTTGACATCCCAGAGCTCCCTGGCACCAGCATCTTCCTGAAGTGTTTCCAACAAAGCAAGTTTTGCCAAACCTCACCCCCCAGCCCCATCAGCTCTACCCAGGAGTTCAGTGTCACAGGTGGTCCCCACGCGCTGCCCAAGCCACCGGAGCCCAGGCCAGGCACCGCGCAGGTGCTACCAGCAGCGGTAGGCTGCATCCCTCCAAACAAGCTTGGCAAAGAGGAGGAGCAGTGGGACCCAGGCAGGCTGGTTTGGGCACAGAGGCTAGGCAGTTGAGGGACAGGATCGCATGCCAAGTGCTGGGGCCACCCAGCCCTGTGCAAACCCAGCACACAAACATGCAAACCCTTCCCAACAGTGCCCGGAGCTGCTTCTGGCCGCTGCAGCCACCCATCACAACTGCCACCCCTCCTGCCTCTCCCCATGGCCAGCTCCAACCCATGGCCTCTCCTGCAGCAGGAGATGCTGGGAACAGACGTATCTGGGTTCCTCTGGCAGCATCCCTCACTCGGAGCACAAAGCAACACCCCTGGCAAACCTCGAACAGAAGGGGGGTGGCAGGAACAGCAAGAGGGATGGGAGCCACCCATGGGCAAAACACCCGTGGGACAAGGGGTCCTCCCACCCCTCACCCCAGAGCCGGCTCCCACACCAACCCTGGGGAGGCAGGGCAGCTCTGGGAATCCCCATCCCTGCCTGCAGCTGCCAGCTCACAGCCCCAGGAGCTGGGCGGGAGCAGCAGGCTCCTGAACAAAGGTCCCTTTGGAAGTGATCAGAGTGCCCCGGGGACGCCCCCCAGCCTCCCCCTAATCCCCCGTGCTGGCCCCAGCCTCCTCCTCTTCCACCACCCAGTCGATAACAAAACCGTTGCTGCCCTCCAGACCAGCATCCCCCAGTGCCTGGCAACCGCCATTCAGAAGGACACAAAGGGGGCTGCAGCCCCAGCCGCCACACTTGCCACCGGGGATGGAGTGCCCAAGCAGGCAGCCAGGCCAGGGACCACCGGCCCTGCTCCAGATCAGCCAACAGCAGGAGACAGTGGCACCTGGAGGAGAGCCGACCTTGTTCCCCCAAGCAACCCAAGGGCTCTCACGGAGGTGGCTGCAGCCCACCTGGTTCCCAGGATGCCCCAAATTGCCCCAAGAGGCACGAGGGTGACAGCGGGGGCTCCCCGGCTCCTCTGGGTGCCATCAGATCTGCTCTGCCTGGGAGGGGCTGCCCTCGCCCTTACCCTGCACGAGCAGCCCCTGCCCTTCCCT